CGACTTGGCTAAAGCAGATGAACCTCTGGGCATCGAGACGATCCCGGAGGAGGGTGGAATGAACGAGAGACAATTGCGGAGACTTGTAATGCTTCTAGGTGTCTTCGCCAGTGAGGATACCGCACCTCAGATAAATCGCGTCTGCGAGGCGACTGCTATTAATAGTATTTCTGATAAAAACCTTCTTATCTTATTCACTCGCTACTGTGACCCACAGACTGGTCAGTGAGTGCGCACGCGGAAGATTTGCGAAGATATCTTCCTAGAGCTCCTCACTCGCGAGAGTTATCCCGTGTTTTGGCGTGCTTTGCTAAGGTTCTTACGAAAGTCCCTTCGCCGTCATTCGCCTAAGCTGAAGGTGTGCATTTGTGGACCATGGGGGGGTTGTCGAATTGACGGTTATCCCAGGTCCATCGAGCATTTCACGTCCTTCGTAACGACTCTGCTGGTGGCGTCCGCAAGGTGGGTTTACAAACACTCAGGTTCAATCCCCACACTTGTCGTTCTCTTTAGATATATAACTTCCTCGAAACGGTTGGTCGAGGAAGCTTCGGTGTGGTTCACAAAGTCGTACATAAGGAGAGTGATCAAGTGCTTACCATTAATCTTGCAACCTCTCCACGATTTCATCGTGTAGCTCCGAGTGTGCAAAAGTGTGGATAAGGCGAAATCATCCGTACCTTTGGCCCAGCTCGAGGAGGAGATCAAGATCATATCACAGCTAGATCATCCAAACGTCATCAAAATATACGAGTACTTTGAGGATCCTAAGTATGCCCCTATCATTGACTACAATGAAGGGCTCGAGCATCAGATATATTCACCTCATTATGGAGGCTTGTTGGGGCGGTGAGCTCCTCTCGGTCATCCAAACGGCAGTTAACAAGGGGGTGTCTCTCCCGGACAGCTTCATCGCCGATGTGAGATAATTTTGTGGCGCAGTGAATAGTTATTATGATAGGTTACTAGGGAAGTACTCACGGCTCTATCATTCATGCACAATCAGGGGGTGGTTCATAAGGTAATGCACAGCCGTCGTTGTTATTGAGCTCTCGCGGCTTTGGATTCTAGTAGTCATATGGCATCAGAAGAAGTGTGTTCATAATATGTGATGACATACCAGCATTTCCTCCTTACTCCGAGTTAGTTATTGAGGCTCGGTCGTATTCTCAGGATCTCAAGCCTGAGAATATCCTCTTTGTGGATGTATCTGAGCCCAGTGAATATCTAGGAGGACCACCGAGGGCTACTGGTGATCCCCTCTTGAAACAGTTGTGTAAATATCAATCCTCCAGGTAACGTGAAAGTTATCGACTTCGGCTTGGCAGAACTATTCGGCGTGAACGTTGAGAAAAGCATGAATGTGAGTGTTGTTGTTGTTGTCGGTTGGTTGTGGGTGCCTCCACAGGTCGCAGGGACTGCCTTCTACATGGCACCTGAGATCTTCCGTCCACCCTTCGACTACAAATGTGATATCTGGAGCCTCGGTGTGATACTGTACGGACTACCATAACTCCCTCTTTGGACAACACTTAATCAGCTACCTCCTCCTTACCGGTTACTTGCCCTTCTTCGGCACTAGTGTCAGCGATGTGAAGTCGAATGTGATTAAGGATACAGTAGAGGTGCAGTAGAGAATGAAGATTAGGTTTTGTATAAGAGGATTCAATGGCCTGACACTGTTTGCAATTCGTCGAGGAGGTTGAGAGTATCCAAAGCAGCGCGGGATTTGGTAAATGGAGGGAGTCTAAAGTTGATAATCATTTCCGACAGGTTGAAAAGATGCTCGTTAAGGATCCATTACAGAGAGAGAGCGCCGCTGATCTGCTCAAACATCGTTGGTTGAGGAAGTTCTCTCCAGAGAATTGTTGGATGAATGTAACAGCGGAGCGATGCAATTCCTGCCACCATGACCCCAGGGAGTTCGACTCCTTTCTGGTGGGGTGGTGGATTGTATATGCTACTATGCACGACAAAGTGAACTGAAGAAAGCAATCATCAACCTCATCGCTCATCAATGGTCATTTCAAGAACAAGAACATGTGAAAGCCTCTCATTCCACGACAGCTGATTTTCCCTGCTATCCCCTCGTGGTTAGGTTAGGTCATTGTTCACCGATCTGGATTCAGAGGCTCGGGGCTGCCTGCCGGTGTCGAGAGTGGCTGAGGCATTACGGCAATCTCAGGTTAAAATGAGCGCCTCTGATGCATGGAGAGTAGCTTCTGCCATGGATCGAACCGGGGATGGTAGGTGGGGAGATCGGCCTTTTGTCTACTGTACCAGTTGAACTACACATTGGTAGGGTACATCGGTTACACGGAGTTTGTTGGGGCGTGCATCATTCGTGAGTACTAAAGAAGTGATAAGCTATGTTACACAGCCGATGACAGGGAGGTTACAACGCGAGGAAGGCGTGATAAAGGCAGCATTCCGATCTTTCACACCGAGGTCCTCTTCCCCTACAGTAGACGAGGTAGCGGTTAGCTTGTGGGCAGTACTATCTGGTGAAAGGTAATACTCGATGGGAGGGAGGCTGGAGAGGTAGCTATTCAGATGTGCTTTGACGGATTATTCAGATGAACCAGATGATTGTGATAGGCGAGCCAGTGAGTGTAGGTCCAATGTGATGTAGCTATCATTGCCTTGTGAATAGGAGCAGTACCAGCACGACCCCGTCTTCCATTGGATGATGCATCTCAAGGAGGATTCCATCGATGGGTTGAGGAGATGGATATCAATAAAGATGGTCGCATCGACTTTGAAGACTTCCGACTCTGGTTGGCTGGCCATCATCATCAGCAAGCCAGCATCAAGTCATGACCAGGGGCTGAGACCTGATAGATCACCCCTCCACCTCCCACACATGGGTGATGCATGGAAAAGCATGTTTCAATGTATCACATTATATGTGTATGTTGGGTTCAGTACCGAGGCCAATATCATCGATCATCCGTGCTGTATCAGTTTTTTCGTTCCTGCATTAGCTCTCATGACGATCGATGCTGGGAAGTCGGATGTCGTCGCTGCGGCGGCGGCGGTTGATGCTGCCTCGACTACTTCGTCGTTATCAACATCCTTGCCGAAGCAGCTCACCAAGGCACTACCATCACAGACCGACGAACTTGACATGGACCTTGGACTCCTCGAGAGGCTTGCTATCAATGTGAAGAGAGCTCACCATGCGGAGCCATCGAGGAAGCTTCTGTCAGGTACTAAAGCGAGGCAATGTCCCTAATCATGTCGCATTCATAATGGACGGCAATAGGAGATATGCTACCTCCCATCATCTACCCAAAGTACAGGGTCATCGATACGGTTATGAGAAGCTCTTGCAGGTCCGAATAGAATCTTCATTCAGTCGGAAGAATAACTGTCTCGTTAGGTTCTAAAGTGGTGTCTCCATCTTGGTGTGAAATACGTGTCCGCCTACACTTTTAGTGTTGACAATTTCAACCGATCTCGAGAAGAAGTTACTTACCTGATGGATCTGGCCAGCAGCAAGTTTGTCGAGTTGGGCAAGCATAATGGTTTTTTGGTGAGTGTGTTGCTTGAGTATAATCCTACTGGATGGTCCGTATCAGGAGCAGCACGGTATCTGTGTAAAGTTCTGGGGCGATTTGTCTCTACTGCCAACAGACATTCATCAGAAATGTATACAATTGGAAGAGAAGACCAGGAAGTATCCTGCAAGGGGTGAGCCCTACATTGGTTATCGATTCCTCCAGTCTTGTCAATGTAGCCACGCTGAACCTCCTTTTCTCGTATTCGAGCAAGTTAGAGATATCACAGGCTGTTGACAAAGCGATTGAAAAAAAGAGAGCTGAGCAACAACAATCACAAGGTACGATGATGCCTTTGTGAATGCGTGCAGATTGTCTGTCCAGGTACCCCTCTAGCATGGTCGGATATTGAGAGCCAGTTATACAGTGCCGGTACTCCTCCTCCTGATCTCATCCTACGTAAGCGACATAGAATGCAAATCAATGTTTCAGCGGTTGGGCAATTGAAGTCACATTTCAGGTACATCAGGCGAGACTAGATTGTCGGATTTTCTGCTATGGCAGATATCACCAGAGACTTTGATATGTTTTGTCAAACCCAACTGGCCCGACATGACTCTTCTCGATTTTGCACGGTAGCGGCGTTGGTGTGGTCCTACGGATATCTGCCGTCACCCTCCCTCCCTTCCTCTTCAGATGTTTGATGAAATACGATACGTTCAAGTCATCCCTGCCCCCGTCAGCAGCTCATCAGGATTAAATCTTGTAGACTAAAACCGTCACCATAACTGCTGTACAATTCCTTCACCGTGTTTCTCCCGTCATCATCATCATCCGTCGCGTTTTTCTGGGCGCGCGCTTTTTTCACAAAAGTCTGACTCGGATGTCTCCTTTCCTGGCATGTTTTCAGTGTTTTTGAACGGCCGCTGGACTCGCAGGAATGACGTAAGTTATGGTCCATGCCGTATGAAGTCTCGGACGCCCGAATCATCATAGCTTGAGGTGGCGGTAGGCTTGTGTCGATTTGGTAGTAGTGTCACATACGGTGACGCTTATGGTGACACCAGCGAGAAATTGTAATTGTTTGCTGCAGTTTTCACAATGTCTGCTCCCCAAGGAAACTCCGATGGGTATCCAAGTGCACCACCCCCTGAAGTGGTTGGGCAACCATACCAACCCCAGATGGGCACCAAGTCACAGGCCGCCTTTGTGCAGCCTCCTGCGGCTATTGTCTACATGCCGACCTTCGGGGATGACCCCGTTAGACTTACCTGCCCTTCCTGTCGGTGCGATGTCATCACTAACGTCAAACACAACATCTCTTGTGGTAAGAAAGTGGTCTAGAGTAGCTCTCCTATTGATTAAGCATTGTCAGGTACATGGTTAGCTGTATTATTGGTCTGCTTAATATTCTGGCCACTTGCATGGTTACCGTGTTGCATCGACTCCTGTCAACAGGCCGATCATACCTGTCCAAGCTGTGGTCGTATTGTTGGAAAGAAGGTTTTCATAACCAGCTAGGAAGTATAAGATTCCTATATCGTCTTGTAGGAACATCTCATTTTGTCATAACGAAGAATCTTTGTATTACTATTGTCATATGTCGAGTCTTGAGTGAAACAAAGGGTAGGATCAGATGGAATGACATCTGTCGTCATTACATTCACTAGTCCGTCGTTTTCTCTCATAATCATCGCGGGACATTCAAGTGTCTTCCTATTACGCCCATCAGATGCACGCATATGCAGAATATCGTCATGCCAATAGTTATCTGCTTCCTCAACAAATAGTTTGGTTGGTGAGTCCCAGCTCGAAAGTCGGATCAAACTCACCTAGGGTGGGCTACCTCAACTGACTCCGACATAGTTCTGTGACTAGTAAGCCTAACGTACTGGTCCCGCAACCTCGGACACTGGACCCTCCAGCTCACACTGCAATTGGGTTCGCAGCCGACCTCGGTGTTATGTGATGAAGTCGTACTGCATACAGTACCAGCTCCCTTCTGTGGGACCTCGAGAGGAATAAGTCGGCTCCTATTTGGGTCTGTTGTGCAGGATGGACCTGTGACGATGGGACAGCCTTTGGATGCCCCTCCCACAACTGCTGTCTTTTATATTCTGGATTTCGACGATGATCCGATAGGATTGGAGTACCCGAACTGGAGGAATGAAGTCGTTACTAATGTTGAGCACTGAATTTAAATGCGGTAAGTGTTACCGTTCCATTTGGGGCGTTATCATTACCAATGCCATACCCAAAACCTCCACCCTCCTTACCATGGTACAGTCTAATTACAGTGTTAGCCACGATAGTGTCTGTTGGTATCAGCGTCATACCAATATACTGCCCTCCGACCGCTCATCCATGGTATCTACCACTACTGGTGAGCATGATTGCTGATCATTCGCCGTCTCAGCCGTTTCCTGTCAGATAACTGCTCCATGTGTATCAGTACTTACCTCTTTGGAACTACTACCATACACGTTGATGTGTGTAGCAGCTCTTTCGAGCTCATGGATAGGATTAGGAGCTGGTATGTTCGTGCACTTCATATTTGATACTGTTAATGGTGGTCAATACAGTCGTGTCTGGGCGGCCTTACTCCTCTATCCTTATACATTCATATCGGCTCTTGGCATGCCCCCAGCCAAGTGTAAGCTTGGTGACTTCACCCTTGCCAACCTCACTACTGCTTTCGCTTATATACCTGTTGGCTTCTATGCCGTCGATGCTTACACCGAGACTTGGATAGCTGGTGTCAACTTCACCTTCGCTGCCATAGTGCCGATATTCGTCGTACTCGTGTTCAAAGCGCTGGGTTTGGTACCACCAGCAGAGCTCCCTATTACTCAGCGGCTTCCCTTCGCAGCTGCTGACTTCTTCGACCTATTGGTTGGGTACTTCATATCTGCTCAGGATCATCAGAACGCTGTTCGAGCAGGAGAGGACGATTTTAATGAAGTCGCTCACTCTGCAACTGGACAAAAGATACCACCGCGATTGAGCGCTATATTCTGGAACTTGGCTGGTGAGCTGTTTTCTCTCAAGGACTGTCTCCTTAGCCTGGATCCCCAGCCTGGCGTTGTCGCTTATGTGTGGAAGCCTCTAGCTGCCGACTTCGCTCTACTGCGGTCGGAGGTCGGTATTGTTCTGCGTAAGACGGCGAGAGGAGTGCCCGAGGAAGCTGACCGGAACCTCCCTGGGATGATAGCCCAATGTGAGGAGCTCACGGTCGATCTCATATCTGATATCAACGCGAAGGCTGCTAAGGGCTCAATAGCACCACCCACCTCAGCAGCAGTCGTACATTTTTATTCCTCTGTCGGGTCCATCCTTTACATCGCTGGTCTAGCCGAGAGGTATAGGCTGGCTGCTGTGATGCAGAAGGAAGAGGATGAGAAGTTAAAACAGGAGAAGAGAGATAATGTGATAAGGGGGTAGGATCGGATCAGCATGCATGTACAAAGTCATCTTCGATCGTCCTCTGAGAGCTAGTATTTATCATCGATTTGTCGTCTGTAGTTACTGAGTCGTCATGGCTTGCTGCTGGCTCTACCATTGTCAATATGGAAGGGTATTGTAACTTGGGTTAAAAAGCCCTTCTTTTACGATATCAAACAGAAGTCGGATATATGGCGGCGTTTTATCTTCCCTTTGAGGTTCAGCCTTACGTTATTCGCTATAGCCATCTCGATGATAATATGGGGTATGTACAGCGAGACCGTCCGTCTACACGGTTTTTGGGCCGTCATACCAGTTTATGTCAGCTTCCTGCCAACGGCTGGTGCTACTCTTATCAAAGGCACACGGAGGATATGCGGTACCATTTTGGGAGGTATAGCGGCTGTAATATGCATCTTGGCTAATCCGGGCAATAAAGCTGCCTTCTTCTGCGAGATGATATTAGTGGTATTCGTTGGTCGACTGGCTCAGTGCGACAGGCGTATCGGTTACGCTGGTTATGTTTTCTCTCTAACATGGTTCATGGTAGGTTTGAGCTCACTTCTTACCCCCGAGACGAAGGAGGAAATGCTGTACAACGCACTGTGGCGATTTGTTTTCACAACTGGTGGAGTTGTCATAACCTCCTTCTCGAGTTGCTTTATATTCCCGGAGTTCGCGGCCTCTAAGCTTGATAGAGCATCAGCACGAATGCTTGAGAAAGTCGCTGATAAGGTGCTCAATGCTCTCGATACCTTCCATCATCGGCTAAAGGCACTTTCTGAGGATAGTGAATGTTCTAGTGATGATGGACCGACAACTAGTATTATGCAAGATGACCGTGAAACGTTTGGTGTTGAAGGATTCCAGTCGATGGCTGAGCGGGCAACCCTTGTGACTGATGCTAAGATGGAGGCGATCGTGTTTGGCAAGATATTACTCGTCCGGGATGTGACAAAGAAAGTATTAGATAACCAGCTGTTAGCGAACCAAGTCTTAAGAGATGGTCTGGTCCTTTATAGCTCCTTGATAGTGTCAGTAGAGCACCTGCGGGATCCATTAGCCTCTCGAACCCTCGCCCCCCTACTAGGTAGTATTCGAGAACTGTCAAAGGCTATCAAGACCTCGTCGGACAAGATTGTGAGTTGCCTTTATGATAGCGGTGCTACACCGGGAATGCTTGAACACCTTCCTGATGATGTTCATGTTAAACTCCAAGAATGTGATGATAATTTCGGAGCCTTCCGTCGTGAATGGGTCGAAGATATCATGACAGGTGGTGAGAAGCTACAGGGTATGCATGGTGCTAATGTAGTCCGCTTCTCTCACACTGTCCTTGCTCTGGCTATGTTTGCCCAACGATGGAATACACTGGAAGGCCATTTACACGACCGTAGTGCACCCATTGAGCTCGTCGAAGCTCAGCAGCAGCAACAACAGCAGCATGCTGGACCAAGTCGCAGGATCTCCAAAGCTCTAGTATAGTATTCTCCAATACAGATTGTTACCTTCGCTATCTACGATTCCTTTGTTTCAACTTTTACAGCCGTTTTGTGGTCCAGTTTTGGTCAATAGCAATTTACTATCACGTAGGGAGTCTCCAGAAGGTCTCGTAGTAATTTGCTCTCTGGGGCGATGGAGCGTACGATCTACCTTTGCTGTGTCAGCTCTGTGGGAATATATTGATATAACGATGCGGGTGATGTGGGCTTGAGAGCTTCATTTGTTGGGGAAATTTTACTTCCCTCAATGCCATCCAAATTCCATACCAGTTGGAGCTACGCGCCGGAATGTGCTGTGAATGCTAACTGCTCCTATAGTCGTGCGTGGGCCTTCAAGTAGATTGCCTACTAGTCCACTCTTATCACACCTGAATCGGACGACGAGTTCACCGTGTCTACTTGTGGATTGGTTGTCGTTGTTGTAGCCGACAGACGTTATTAGATGCAATCCGCTTGTTGTCGTTTAGTGGTAGTTGTCAGTAATAATGATGATGACCAAGACGGTAGACAATCGAGAGATATCCTCCTTATCATTGGAAACCCCTCTCCTCGCCGATGGGCCCGACAATACTCATAATCACTACCAAGTGGTGGACCAAGAGAAGAACAACAGTCTTGAGCAGCAGCAGCATCATACGACAGATAGGCTGCCTCCACCCACAGTCACTGAGGCTTTCTCTAAGAGCCATACGACATACAGGGTAGCCTCTAGAGCTCCTCGATCTACACAACAGCATCATCTTTCAGGCCCGTCTAGTGGCATTACTCCGCTCCGACTCCATATTGGCATTCCTGGGCATTTTATCGTTTGTCGTCTTCGGTGTCATCACCAACAACGAAAATCTCTCCTTGGCGTTGTGGCTGTGGATTACCCTCCAGACATATCAGTTCGTCCTCGCACTTGGCCTTACAGCCATATTGGGGGTAGCAGTCGTGAAGGAGCTTCATGCAGGAGGGGGAGCTCGAACACGAATCTGGGTGGGTATCGTTCTACCGCTCCATCCCCACTTCACGCGCTGCGTCGACAGGTACTGTGTTTCGCGGTGACACCCTACTACCTCAGCTTGGCCATCTTAGTACCACTATTTGGCTGGCCTTACGTTATCCATTCACAATGGATATGCACTCTCATACCACTCCTCTGTCAAACGAATGATGATGATGAGTACTACGACTATGATAATTATGGTATTCCAGTTGAAGGTGAAAACTACATTCCAGTTGATGCAGGGGCGGGGACTTTAAAGGAAGCCTTCAGCAAGCAGAAACGTCTTTTCCTTACTACAGGTCAAATGCCCCTTCACTTACCTTCCAGACTTGGCCATTTCAGGATTTCTCGGTCTCAGTTGCTGGTTGGTCTTCAGTAGCCTCTATTACTACTTCGAGAAAGATAATCCACGTATGGTGTATTGTCCTGAGACCCTTGGAGCTCCTACTCAATGTTATAATAGGTGAAGCCCTCTCCCTTGCCTCGTAGATCAGACTAGCTAGGTTAGATACTCCTCTATACCTCTATCAATGTACCACACTCTTATCGTATTGTTGGGGGAATTCCCACACGTATCGGACTACTCGACTGCGGGATGCATCATATCCATATTCGCCATCATATTTGGCGTAGCTGTCGTGGCCGTACCTGCAGGTGAGCTCGATACCCTCGTAGGCGTTGCGGATCTTGTTGACGTGTGCCTCTCTAGTGATGACCTCATTGGAGCTTGCGGCTTGGATGTGTAGGTCTGCTCGGTGCGGGTATACAGTCAGGCTTGCGAGGCATACGTCAAATTGAAACACCAGAGGCATCCTTATCAACAACAGGACAGATTCCTACTGCCGGTTATCACAGGCATCAGCTGCCTGTTATCACTCGATTGGAGTTCCAAGATTTCCTATCGGCCAAGTAGGCTTTCTATCATGGCTGCCTCGTTCTATCATTAATTCCATTTGTAGAATTGGATTGGACCATGAGGCACTCTTCCGAATGATGCTGGCGATGGATGGTCATCATGGCGAGATGGTGCTACGACTCACGTCGAGCGAGGATCGAGACGGCGGCTGGCGGGTTGACCTAGGGGACTTTGCTAGGTAGAGCGACTGGTCCTATTCAATCATCATCCTGCTTTATTAGATTCGTAACCTGTTGGTTGTTGGTGCCAGTATCCGTCACCCACACGCTACTGGATAGTCTACCACCTGCCGCTATACCTCCTATAGACCACTACGCCCTTGGCCCACTGGGGGTCCTCGTTACTCTCATCTTCACTGTGGAGCTCCTATTTAGACTCTACTGTGCTCCTCTGATGCCTAACTTCAACCAGTCTGCCGCTACATCGACAATATTCTACACCAGTCGGGCTACAAGATTCCCTCGCGCACAGGCGAGGTTCTTGGAGTATGCCTTCGGCACCGCCTATGGGCTGATAGATGTCCTCGCTGTCATCCCCGGGGTACTCATCTGGTTCACGCCACAAAATGAATACCTTTGGGCTCTCCTATTGCTACGGGTTTTTAAGGCGGAGCGATACGTATCGGGATTTGCATATTTCCGGCAAATTCTGAAAGATAGCAGAGCAATACTGGTGTATTCTGGAGGAGTGGCGATTGGTCTGTGGCTTCTCTCAGCCGAGGTTATGTATTACACTGAGAGATACAGCATCGATCCACAGGTAGGGTCCCTCCCACTTATCGGTTCATGCCAGTGTCAGGTTAGTAATCACTATTCGACTCTCGATGGTAGCTTGTGGCTCACTCTCTTGAACATGTCGGGTGAGTCACCACTTGGGGACTACTCCTTTTGGGGGTCTATCGTAACTGCCGCATTGGGGGTCTTTGCTGTGGGAGTAATTGCAGTGCCACTGGGCGTGTTTGGCGCGGGAATGCAGGACAGGTACGACGTTATTCGAGGAGTAACCTAATCTTCTGACTACTATTATGCTAGGTTGGAGTCCCTTTTGGAAGAAGACAGTGCAGTTTTAGCGACGGCTTCAAAGGAGGCGATGCTTGCAACTTCAGAGGCCCTCCGTCATACCACCACATTACAGCGTCGTGCCTTTATCCTTGTGAACCCTAGAGAGGCGGATAATCGAAGTAAGCTCGATTGGTATAGAGGAGCCACTATGCAGTATTGGTCACGACGCTACCAATATTGGCTGGGGTTCTGGCTGGCAGTTAGCACTACAGTTGCCGTCCTAGAGACCCTTCCAGCTTACCATACTACATGGCCGGCTTGGACAAGGGCACTCCTCTCTATTGGGGAGACACTAGCTGTCCTGGTCTTCACGTTAGACTATGTTCTAAGGCTGTACGGTGCCCCTATGAGTGTTGGACGATGGGCTCCACAAGGTTACGTCTCTGACACTGCGATGAGGTGGGCTTATGCTACGACCTTTCTCGCGGTTGCCGACTTTCTCTCTGTTCTACCCTGGTGGATAACGGTCTCAACTAATTCACAACTCACCGATCGTTATGATGGCGAGTTCCGACTGCTTAGATTATGTCGAATATTCAACTTGGACTTCCTCACGGTGACTTGTTCCCTCCTATTGTCCGTAGTGAGAGCCCAGCGAAGGTGCCTCGGTCGTGCTTTGTATGTCGTACTAGTCTTATGGCTTTCTCTTGGGGGTCTATTGTGGTTTACTGAGCATAATGATGATCAGCTCGCTGGCAGTCCACAACTACCACAGTCTTCGCGCTACGGTTCGTTGGTGTCCTCCTCGATCCCCTTCGCTATGGTGCATCTGACTGGTGATTTTCCTCTCATCGACTACACTACCACCGGCAAAGTAGTGCTGGGCCTCACTGTTGTATTGGCCGTTGGTGTTGCTGCAGTACCGGCTGGTCTCTTGGCAGCAGCATTCACGAAGGCTCTTAGAAGGCAGAGGGAGAGGGAGCGAGCCAGGAGGAGGGAGGCTGCAGGGATCATTGGAAAGCATGTACGGAGGTACATGGTGAGGAAGAGGCTTGAAGGCATCATAATGGAGGCACGTCTGAGGCAGATGAGGGAGTTAGCGGAGCGACGCAAAAGTAGCTTCGTCGTAGCTGCCGTCACTGTCAGATGGTCTGATTGCGCTTCTCAGGAACGCTCGTTCATCGTGTCCACCATTATATACATCATGATAGATTCTACCGAGGCTTTATGCTCACCTTGGTTCTACTCAATGTCCTAGCGATAATACTCGAGAGTGATGCTGCAGTATTGATTATCATTGGCAAACGTGGCTTTGACTACTTCGAATTCGCATCAGTGAGTTTCCTAAGGCAGTCATCCTCTTCCGCCTCCTCATTTTTGTCTCCTACAATGGTGACCTTCAGGTATGCGTCTTCACTATTGACTACCTAGCCAGGGTATACAGCTCTACGGCCAACCCTCTTGTTGGGTGTAGCCGTGGAAGATACATGAGATCCTTCCTAGGTCTAGTGGACCTGATATCGATACTACCATTCTGGGTAGAGTGCCTTACATACCTAATAGAGCCATCCTATGCTGGCTCACCCGATGCGAGCATCTTCCGTATCTTTAGAATCTTCCGAGTGAGTTGGTTGCAGCTGAACTCAATATACAGTGACCTCCTAGATCCTCCTACTGGAGCATTTCCTGGTAGCATGGCGGCAGCTGTCAGTGGTATGGTCCGAATGTAGGGACACCGTCCTCTCGACCGGCGTCATCGCAGCTGTGGTGAGGTCCTCCTCCTCAGAGGGAGTCCAGTCAAGCGTATCTCACCTCGCCTACTGTTCAGGTCTGGTTATTCGCCTCCTGCCTCTTCTATGAGTTTGAGAATTCCTCCTCTATCAGTGGAATATCTCCTTTCGATTCAATACCCTCTAGCATGTATTACACAGCTGTATTCCTAGGCGGTAATCAGTCCTGCATAGAGCTGGATGCACCTCGTATTATTCAGGTGAATGGAGTATGGTAGACTTCTCCCCATCAGGCAAGTGCCTCTGTGTAGTAGTATCTCTACTAGGAGTGGCTCTCTTCGCCATGCCTGCTGGTCTACTCTTCGAAGCATTCGGAGATGTATCTGGCCTCATGGTGGCTCCACCTCTATTCAGATGTGTTCAGGTCCTAACCAAGTGTGAGCTTTTGGATGATTATGGTCGATCGTCGTCGAAGGTCGCGGGTGGTGAGAGCGACCACGTGGTGTAACGCCGCACATGTTATTTTTAATTGAGTTATTCTGGCCTAGAACAAGCCGTTATGAAGGGTTATGCTCTCCATGTGAATGATGCATTAATAAGAAGTAACATAGTGTCGTTTGAGGCTGTGCATAAATCGATTTCAATGCTGGTCGACTTGGTTTTTTGGTTGTCAATCCTCCGAACTCACAGCTTCATAATACTCGCAAATCGGTTGAGTGGAGCCCCTTTCCGAGATACCTGGCCCAGCAACGATGTCGTCAGTTCACACTAGAATAACCTACTACTACCTATGCGGTTGTAAGGGTCTACTCTCTCATGTCCACTAATCCCGCTGACGTGTTGTCATCCCTACTTACTTACTTGCGAGACCATGATACATATAGTCAACAGAGTAGGGAGGATGATGCATCAGCAACTAGGAAGTGCATTGAGGCAAGGGAAGCAGTAACTACTCGCTACAACCATGATGCATACGCTCTCAGTCGGCTCTCACTTTGCTGGAGTATGGAGGTATGCCGCAGTGTGCGTCTACCGCTGACCTTGAGTATCTGAGAGGGGTCATGAAGCGTCGATGGATAGACCAGAATACCCACTTGAGCGATCGTGCTGAACAAGAGAAGCTCTTGTGGCAGCGAATTGTGAGATACTCGTGCTGCTGCGATTCTCCACGGGGACTATGTAAAGCAAAGTCTCGAGTGAGACCCTCTCTACAGGTGTCGGTGACGAGGGAGCCTTCGACTGAAGATATCGATATTGATGATATCTGTGAAACCCTTATTACCGAGCTTCATCTCACCAGGAGTGAGGTTCTTCGTGCAAAACGGCAGCAGTGGGAGACGGTGGAAAGTGAGGAATCGAATATGACTAAGTCATTGGCTAGAGAAGGAGAAGCTACTGATAGTATACTATCGAGGGTGATTACAGGGAGAGCTCATGGTGGTGGTGGGCAGCTGAATAAGGGGTAAATTGCTACACATCGAGAGGGGGAAGCTCTTCGAGTCTACACGGTTGATCAGGTCGAAATCAGGAGAGGGTAACACTGATGAGGGCAGCATGAGAGGTTGGTAACTAGACTCCCGTAGGAGTGATGTGGGTTGTATCAGAGTCATCCCTTGACCATTTGCAACCTGAGATGGTGGAGGCGATCGAGGCACTGCGAGTGAGCCCTTCTGAAGGCAACATCATTCGAGATGAGGATATTGCTGGTGAGCTCTTCCGATCACCCGCAGATGATGAGTCTACCACTGGCAGGGTTGAAGTTCACAAAACAAACAATCACCGAAGTACTGATAATGCCACAGAAGTTCCCGCAGCTTTTCACTTCCCCATTGACAAGACCACCAAGAGGCATACTTCTCTTTGGGCCACCCGGTAGCACCTCTCAAAGTGCCGGTAGCCGAATGATCCGTCGAATGGTTCCTATGAATGGTGGGGCTGAGTTGTCACATATAAAGACCTGACTTGGTTTGAAGTTTGAAATGATGCAGACACTCGGATAACATTCCCGTATGTGCCTCTATCGCGATTGCATGTCCATCGCTCTAACCCCACCCCAGGTTGAATGCCTGTTGTTATGAGGTACCGGCAAGACCATGTTGGGACGATGGATAGCCTCTAAAGTGAATGCCACTTTCATAAACGTGTCGGCATCAATTCTTTTCTCGAAATGGATCGGGGAGAGTGAGAAAATGGTGAATACCTTATTCCAAGTGGCTGATCATTACCAACCAACAGTCATATTCATTGATGAGGTAAAACATCAATACCATGGAGCCGATGATGGATCACGTCATGCTCCCCTCATCGATATGTTGCGGCTATCTCACATCACACCACTCGACTAGCAGCTGCTGCGTTTATTCCACATCATTTTGCAGGTAGATAGTATTCTCGGTGCAAGATCCGAAGGGGACCACGAGTCCACGAGACGATTAAAGAATGAGTTCCTTGCCGCTCTGGATGGTATCACCAGCAGACCCGAGTCTCGAATACTCTTCCTTGGAGCGACCAATCTACCCTGGCAGATTGACGCTGCCGCATTGAGGAGATTCCCCAAAAAGCTGTAGGGTATCTAACAAGAAGATCATGATTCTCTTTGATTTGGCCCTCACTGGATATGATCGTTCCACGAAGCCCATAGCATTGACACGTAACACAAATGCAGTTATATAGTTATAGATGATATAGTGATACAGTTACAGTAGTGTTACAGTTATGGTGAATGCAGTTTAGGTGATGCCCAGCTGGTGCGATCAGGTACACCCCGCTGCCCGG